GTGTCAGGAACTGCTCACTGAGGAACAGCACACTAGCCTTGTGTGAACATGCCTGAGGGAATTGCTGCTGTCCTCACTTGGTGTCAGTGGGTCCATAGGTGTCTGCAGCAGGAGATTCCAGTGTGTCCATTCCCACTCCACTCCCAACTAGTGGAACAAAAGCTTCCTAACAAGAGGGAAAGAAAACCCAAAATCTTCTGCTCACTTTTCTTGAGGTTTTCCCCTCAGTCTCTTTGCAGGGCAGACATTACCACTGGATTACTAACGGTTGTGGGGAGTACACCTTGACAGCAGCAGTGTTTTAGGGTATTTTTCTCTTCTTTAGATGAAAAGCCAGGCTTTTGGATTCAGGCTAAAAAAAAAGTATTCATCCTTCTAAGTAGATTGAAAGAGAATCCAGATTAAATAAATCATTAAATCATTCCAGAATGTTATCCACCTGTTCTGGCCTGTAATTTATTTTCAGATGAACAGTAGGTAAAAAAAAAAAAAAAAAAAAAAAAAAAAAAAAAAAAAAAAAAAAAAAAAAAAAAAAAAGGCAATACAATGGCAAAAATCATTTTCCTCTAACAGATGCTTTGATCCTGAAATGACACCTGGCCTGGGGAGCTGCTTGTGCAGCTTTTGAGATCATTTTGAACTAACTGCTCCAGTCTATTGCTCTATAACCCTGATGGCCACATCATGCTAAAATTTCTGTAAACACCTTTGAAGAGAGATCTCCAAGGGTTTTCCTGCTGCAAAACCAGTAAAATTCACCCCTTTATTGTGGGACAGGAAATTTGTAGAGGGACAGGACATCTGTTTGAGGGCATGGGCAAATCCCAGCCAGCTGAGAATGAAGGGGCCCAGACCATTTTAGTGTCAGGGCCACTGTCCTCATGTGCTTGTGCAGGAATAAAGGAAAGTTTCCTCTCTCCTATGTTCCTAAAAGGAGGATTGTGCTTCAAAAGGCTGGGAAGCACCAATCTCACTGGTTACTTGTGTTGTCCAGACCTTCTCAAGACTCATGAATGGAGAGCACCAGCATGTTTAGTGCTGGGGATGGCAGGGAGGTGAGATGCTGGGAGGGCGTGACCAAGGACCACAGATGGAGGACAACAACAGTGCTGGGATCTTGGGGAAGGTGGTGAAACATGGTTACTGTCCTGCTGTTCCACACCTCCTCTCTGCCCAGATGCAGCCGAAAGCAGCCACAGTTCAAGAACCCAATTTCATGTTTCTCTGGTGTATATTTAAACAGATTTAGCCAGCTCGATGGTCAGTTTTTGGATGAATTCTCCCATTTGCTGAACGCAACAGCGTTGAAGCAGGAATCTGTCGCAGCAGCCCGTCTGGGGTGGGAAGAGGCAGCAGAAACCCTCAGCCAGGCGTATGAGAGGCAGGCAAGGGCTCAGCCCCCAATTTTCGGGGCTTGCTTCGCTCGTCCGCGGATCGGACGGATAAACTCCCGCTCCGGGAGGCTCATTGCCGGCACCAGCCCGTCGCTCCTCGTACCTGGGGGCCGGGCACCGGGGCCGCTGCCCCGCGGGGAGCGGGACCGGGCGCGGGGGTCACCGCGGGGGCGCAGGAAGGGCCAGGGGTGGCCGGGGAGCCGCGCCGTCTCGGCCGCACAAAGCCGCCTTTTCATCGCGGCCTCCTGCCCCCGCCGGGCCCGTAATTGTCTTTGACAAAACTTCATTAGCGAGCGCGGCGGAGGCGGCGGCGGCCCCGCGGTCGCGCTGCCTTTGAGCGGGCGCAGTGGAGTGTGCGCGGCCCCGCCGCTCCCGCCCGGGGCCATTAGCCCGGCGACTTTGTTTTAGAAACTTCCCACCCCAGCGGGGGACGCGTCAACGAGCCGCCCCCGCCCGCCCCCGGGACCGCTAATTGGGGGGCGATGCGGGGCTGCGGCCGGTGCCAGCGCGTCCCGGCGGGCTGCGGGAAAGGGGGACACCCGCCCCTCCAGAGCCAAGAGGGGTGCCCTGCGGGGATGGTGTGTGTGTGTGCGCGCTGCGCTGGTCCCTCGGCTTCGTGGGGTCTACACCTTGCGCGCCCGGTTTGGTGTCTCGCCGGGGAGGGCTGAGGCGGGCCGGGCCGAGGGCGCTCCCCGTCCGGCCCCATCTCCTCGAGCCGCCCCGCAGGAGCGCATTCCGAGTGCCCCAGCACAGCCCGGCTCCCCCCGCTCCGGCGGGCAACCCGAGTTCACTTCCCAGAGCGGCAGCGTTAAAAAGCCCAGCTCAGCCGGAGACGGTTTAAATATGTTTATTATGGCATTGGAGGCGCTGAATTTGTTCGTGCGAGCCCGTTATTTTAGTTTTGTGCCTGGGCGCACGCAGGCTCCGCTCCCGGTATTAGTTCTCCGTCAATCCCCACTCTGGTTTTTAATCAAAACAGTATTCGGAATATGATTCCCGGAGATTATATTTTGAGAGATTTGCGATACATATCTTGCCGGCGTGACAGATTGCAGAGGAGTCCTGGGCGGGCGGGATAATCTGCATCTCACTCACTTGACCTTTAATGAAAGGGGAGTAAAAGTAATACATAAAAAATAAAAGTCTAAAGACTCCTGGAGGTTGCCTTCGTGCCGTTCTTAAAAAGACCCCGAAGCCTGTACCCGCCTAACTAATCAACCCCTGAGGACTTCACACCTCCTTCGGGTCTTGCTGTCAGGGCCGGGGGTTCCAGGGCCGGGCGGTAGAGTCTGAAGCTCGGAGGAGCTCCTGGACGCCCCCGCGTCGCGGGGGCCGTGCAGGTTTCGTCTCCTGTGAGCAGCTCAGGAGGCCGATGCAGAGCTGACTCTCCGGGGAGCCTCTTCCAAAGCTGCCGAGCAAAGGGAACCGGAGGGAGCCGGGTCGCTCCCCTGCACGATGGGCGGAGGCACCCGGGACACAGACGGGAGGGAGGCCCGGCCACTGCGCTGTGTTCCCAGGGCAGATAATACCTGTCCTCTCCGGTGGGAGAGGAGGGGCGGAGAAAGTCGCCTTGCAAGAACCCTTCGAAAGGGCCTAATACTCTTTATTACAAGCCTTAATCCTTCAAAGCCGACTTGAAATAATGTTTATCTTTTCGCAGCCTAATTTCCCCTTCTCTAAGCTCCGGGTCACTGCAACAGACTGCGGTTGCTGTGCCGCCGATTGCCCAGGGCTGCTCCGGTGTAGGGGAAAGCCCCGTGGCCGAGCGTCTCTGGCTGGGCTCCCGGCGGGCCCAGCCCCGCTCCCGGCCGCTCTGTTACCTGATGCCCCCGTGTACAACTGCCTCCCCTTCCCTTTCCCCCCCAGCCCCTCCAAAACCCGATAGTTTGCCTTCTTTGACAGGTGCCCCCGCAGCCGAGATTGCTCCGGTCCCAGGAGGGACCGGGGCTGTTCCCGGGGCCGAAGCCAGGGACAGCCCCGCCACCTCTCCCCTGCGTTGACCTACAGCTCCTCCTTCCCCATACGAACTCCTCAAACCCAGAGGACTCCGAGCCCTGCAGTCCCACTTGTCTTGAGTAGCCTTTCGTAAACATATAGAAGTCTACTCGATATTCAAGATTGATTTCCCTGATTTATTAAGGCAGAATTCATTGGACTCTATTGACCACAAATGACTTAATGTAAATGCTGACCCCGGTGAACTTGGAAATAGCAGGTATCGGGTTGATCTATAGATGACCTCTTAATTACCACAGTTATTAATTTAAATTATTGCCACTGCTTCCAGAGACAGGAACAAAGAAACATTCTTTCCTCATCCCTGCTTGGTTTATTAGTCTGAACACAAAGTGTTTGATGACACTTTTAATTAAACAGAAATAATGCAGAGATACGGTTTCCCTTTCTCGTCTGTCCTGTAAAGTGCAGCACTGCTCTTTTGACTGACTGACGGCGGTGACCCACTAACAACGTCCTACTTCGCCGCCCGGTCGCCACCCGCTGCCCGGGGGTGCCCCGGCCGTGCCCCAGGGCGGGCGGCGGGTGCCTGTGGCCGCTCCGCCCGGGCTGTGCCGGCTCCTGGCTGGAGAGCTCCGGGGTCACTGACGGCTTCGAGGCGTTCAGCTCATCCGTGTTAATTAGAGACTCCGAAAAATACTTTTCAGCGATATCTATGTACAGAGACGGGAAAGAAACAGTCCGGCGTAACCTGCGCCGCTTCTCCTCCTCCTCCTCCTCCGCCCCGGGACGGTGCAGAGCGACTGCGAAGCGACGCGCCTTGGCGGAGCTGGGCGCTGAGCGGAGCGCGCAGGTTTGGGAGAAAGAGGAGAAACAACCACGACGTGGGGGGAAAAGAGAAAAGATCAGAGTTTGGATTTCTTTTTCTTTTTTTTTTGCAAAGACGTTGGCGAGGTGTTGAACATATGGCAAGCGTGCGGCGGGGAGGCGCCGGTCCTGCGGCCGCTCCGCCCGCCGCCCCGCCCGCCGTGCCCCTCGGCCCCATGTGCGCAGCACGTTGTGCCGCGGCGGCTCTTCCCTGGCGAGGGCAGGGCAGGCGGAGCCGCGAGGCCACCGCCGGCCCGGGGAGAGGCGTCTTTCGTTGCTTCAAGCCGAATGGCTCGCCGCAGCCGGAGCCCCGTTGCCAGCGCCCAGGAAGGGGCGGGCGGCCCTGCGGGACGGAGAAGCGGTGATAAGCTGGTGATTAAGCGGCCGCGTCCGGGGCCGGGTGTTGGTGCCCCGGCCGGCCGGGAGCTCCGCGAGCGAAGCAAGACGGCGGCCCCCACCGCTCCGGTGTCCCGGGGCCGAGGGGGCGGGCTCGGGCTTAGTGCGAGGTGAGGCCCCGGCTGCCGGCCCGTCACCTACCTCACCTCCGCAGCACCGGCCGGAACGCCGTCCGCAGCCTGTCCAGGCAGGTCCCGCCCAGCTCGGCGCCTCCCGGGCCGCCCTTGGCGCCCCGCCCGAAGCCTGCACAGACACAAGCGGCTCGCGGTGGGCCCGGCCCGGCACCGCCGCCCTCCCCTTCCCGCTCGCCTCGAGCAGGGAAGCCTCGGCGTCCGCACCTGACACCTGGCACGGCCGAGCGCCGGGGCTGTCACTGCGCGGGCAGGCTCACGCCGTGCCCTGCGCCCCTGCCCGGCCCGCGGTCCCGCCCGTCCCCGCGGCCCCGCCGCCGCGGGTACCTTCGCCCGCCGCCGCGAACTGGCACGGCTCCCCCAGGCCGCGGTGGGACGCGCAGCTCCGCGGGAGCGGCTGCAGGTTGAACGCAGAGCTCCGGAAGGCCTTGGCGGGCAAGGGCTGCTCCGCCGCCGAGCCGCCGCTTCCCTCCGCGCCGCAGCCCTCGGGGCTGCCCCTGCGCGCCGCGCTGGCCCCGGCCGTGCGCGCCAGCGACCAGATGCGCGGCTTTTCCGCGGGCGCGTAGGGCGGCGGTGGGCCGGCCAAGGAGGCAGGGGTGAAGTCCGCGGCGGGGGCCTTGGCGCAGGGAAAGGCGTGGAAGGGGCCGGGCAGGCTACAGTCGCTTCGAGGAGCCTCGGGCAGCGCCGCGCCCAGGCTGGGGGCTTCCTGCAGGGAGCTGGCCCGGCCCTTCTCTAGCTTCCCCGCCTCCTCCTCCTCCTCTTCCTCCTCCTCCAGGTCGCTGAACCGCAGCTCCTTGTCCTCCTTGTAGCTCTTCTGCTCTGCTTGGACACACACAGGGAACAGGGGGGGCGGCAGAGCATTAGTGTGGGTGCGGGGATGTTGGGGGGCCTCGAAATCGGCTACTTCGAGCTACTTCGAGGCGCCCTGCCTCTCCCCCTACCTCTGCCTTCGTCCTCTACACTGTATTCATCCTCTTCCCGCGGGGTTTCTTCTTTTCTCTCTTCTCCCGCTTTGTTCTTGGGGGACCAGGTCATTTTGTTTTCTTTCTTGAGCCTCCGTCTGGCGTTAGCAAACCAAGTGGACACTTGGGTCAGGGTCATTTTGGTGATGATGGCCAGCATGATTTTCTCTCCTTTGGTGGGGTAGGGGTTTTTGCGGTGCTCATACAGCCAGGTCTTGAGGGTGCTTGTCGTCTCTCGCGTTGCATTCTTGCGTCTGGCGGAACCACCGAAATCCACCGTCCCGTACCTGCTGGGAGATGATTACAGAAGGTGGAGGCCGGCGGGAGACCAACATGAGCCCCCTGGCCCGGCCCGGCCTAGCCGCAGGCCGGTGTGGCCCCTTCCCCTCTGCCTGCCTGCCCCTGCCCTCCTGCCATCGCCTCCCAAGTTTGATTTCAGGTGACTGCTGCTCCCGGGGCGCCTCGTTTCTTTTGTACAACGTTTGTCAGGTCGGAGCCCCCGCCGGCCCCTGCCGTTTGATGTCGGCCGCCGCCTCGCAGGGGGATGCTAATGCTGCCGGGCGCTGATCAAAGGGGTTTTACCTGTCGTACTGGTACTGCCCCAAGGAATGATCGTAGGAGTAGTAGGCAGCGGGCTGCGCGATTCCCGAGTGCAACGTGCCGGCGCCGTCCTTGATTTCATACTGGGGGTTCTGCAAGGGAAAGCGGCCGCGTTTGGCGTCGAGCAGGAGGGGGAACCGCTCTGCGCCCCGCAGCCCCGGCTCCCCGCGGCAGCCCAGTCCCTTCGCGCCCCCCACCCGCCCCGGGCCGGCGCCGCTCCCGCGTCCCTCGGCGGGCCCCCCGCCCCGAGACCGGCTGCGAAACACGAAGATTCCCGCCTGGTGCACCCCCCTCTCCCCTCCGGCGGGCTGGCAGGCACTCACCAGCGCGGTGTAGAGCGCGGCGGGCTCGGCGCCGTAGGGCAGGTAGTTGCCATAGCCCTGTCCGGCGGCGTACGGGGCTCCGTACATGCCCAGAGCCGCATTGAGCTCGGCGCGGCCGGGCGCCAGCAGCCGGCCCTCGTACGGGGCGCAGCACAGGGAGGCGGCGGCCGGCGCCGAGGAGGCATCCGGCCCGGAGCGAGGGCCGGCCTCGCAACACGTCGTGCTGGGGCTGGCGGGCACGAAAAACTGCGGAGAGGAGAGGAGAGAGCGGGACGACGCCGAGTGACTGTCGAGGCAGCCCCATCGGGGGGAATTTAGGAGCGTGTGCGCGCCTGTGTGTGTGCGGAGGGGGGGGGGTGAGGAGGGGGATAGGAAACACGGGCTGAAGCGACTAATTATAGAAACCGGGAAATAAACCGAATGGGAAGCAGGAAACCCTTGGGAAGGGGGCACGATTAATCAAGCAGGCAAAACTTTAAGGAAATAATTGCTCTGGAAAAAGGCATGAGATCCGTACAGCTCCATCCTTCCCGCCCCCGCTCGGTCCATCTGCATTGATTTAAAGGCAAAAAGTTGCGATTATAGTTAATTTGACAATAGACACAGCAGTAAATATGTCAGCTAACGCAATCGAAGGCATTTGATTTCAATAACTTCAAGGGGACAGCTAACTTCCCAAGCGAGAGAGGCACATCTTGCAGTGATTACGGTATATAAATAATTCTACCCAAATAAATCGTGACTCGAGGTACGCTATAGTAACGACTTACAGGGTGCCTTGGTGTGAGTGGGGGGGTATCCTTTGGAAATCGCATGGGGGGGGTTAAAAAAAATCTCTCGACAGATCCTAATAAAACACAGGAAAAGGACCGACCCGTGGTGGAAGGGGGGAGGAAACGGCACAGCCCGGTTCCGCAGAAACCCGAGTGAAGCCCCAAGCCCGCCAGTTCCCGCTGCCCGCACACCCTCCGCCGTGCCCGGGCGGCAGCGGCGCGGCGGGGGCAGCGCCCGGCAGGTCCGCGGGACAGCTCCGCGGGCTCGGAAAGCGGCCGTAACCAGGATTTATGTTTTTTTTATTTGTTTGTTGCACTTAAAACTGAACGGTGGAGGGTGGGGAGGAGGGGGAATTACCGGTTTCCTACACGCCTTTGCTGTGCACACTGCGAGTTATTTGTTTTAAGCCTAACACAACACAAACGAGACATAAACACACACGCACATTTTTTAAAAAAAGGCTCCAGATGTGCCCTTTTAAAAAAATATTCTAAGTAAGGGAAAGGGAAGAAAAAAAGGGAGGGGGGGGACAAGACATCTGGACAGCAGCAGCAGAATCTAAACAAAAGTGAGTGCTGCTCACTCGCCTTACCTGTGAAGTGGTGCTGTAGGGGTATCCGAACTGAGAGAAGGACATAGTTGCTCCTTATTTTTGGACCATAGGCAATATTTTCCCCCCAAGATCGATTGTAACTAAACCCTGCTTCAAGATGCACCTTCTCACACACACATTTCCACGTATGGCTTTTTTTTTTTTCTCAATTATAGATGATTGCACTTAAGAAAAGCAGCCAGACATCTGAGGCGGTGGGGGGGAGGGGGGAGGTTGGTGCCTGGATTAAAAAAATAGGCTACCCCCCACTTCCCATCGCTCTTAATAGATATGTTTGTATAGCGGGAGTTTAAAAAGCCACCCCACATGTATAGAGAGTTTAAGTGCAAAGGGGCTTTTTCAAAGAGGGGGGGAAAATCACGTAGGGCTTGCAAGATACAGAGCTTGCTTGTTGTATTATTTTCTGCTCTATAGGTCTTTAGCGTTCATCGGTGGGCGAGGAGCGGGGTGACGTCACGGCCCTGCCGGCAGCAGCAGGCAGCGGCGGGCAGGAGCAGGCAGCGCCCCGCGCCCGCTCTCACCACTTGTTCCATGTTGGTTTGATGTTGTGCTGTGATGCACGTCAAAGGCGGGACTGGGGGTGCCTTGCGGTTGGTCTCTTTTCCCTTTCTCTCCTTTTTTTAAACGCAATCCAAATTTGTCTTAGGGGAATAAACATTCAGTGGGGACATCGCGGCACCCACCGGCCGCAGCGTGGCCCCTGCCCTAGGCCCGCCGCGGGGAGGATGAGCGCAGGGCAGGTGGCCTGAGAGCACCCGGGGCAGGAGCTCTCGGTGCCAGCCCAGCCGGCGCAGCACCCCCGGCCCTTCCTGCTGCCCCCGCGCCCATCCGCAGGGCCGGGCGGTGCTGTACGACGCGGCCCCGGTTCTGCATGGGAGCCGGGGAGCCGTGTTCCCCGCCTTGGCTGCCCTGCCCGTCGCGGCACGGGAGCGGGGTCGGACCTCTCTGCCTGCCTGGGCAGGGCACGGCTGGCGGCGGGACAGAAAGACGAAGCCCACTTCCCGAAGGAGTGCTGAGCGGGGCGTCCCTTCTTCTCCCTTAGCTCCGTGATGCTCCCTCCGGGAGCGGGCGGGCCGGGGCGGTGGCAGGTCAGCGGGGCGGTGATGGATGGCTGGCTGCCTGCAGCCCGACCGGCCCGTTACCGCCACGGCGTAATCGCATCAATTAACAACTGGAAATGTCCTTGTTTAACCAGCGACTTACATATCGCGAATTTGCCTTTGAGGCGAGATCACCGGGAGGTTAACGGGGATTTCC